CCAAATCCCTGTAGCCCCCAAAGAGTTAAGTTGCTCATCTCCTTAGGCATAAAGCTATTTTGGGCTGAGGCTGAGAAGATAGATATCTGCCAGGAATGATTAAAAGGGACTGAACTAAAGCTTTCTTCTCCCAAAGACCATGGGCTCTTCTTGAGTCGCATTGCTCCCTTTTCTGTGTCTTGAAGATGAAATGCCTTGGCATAACCACCAGATGTCTTGGGCTGCTTGTGGGCTTATTAAGGCAAGCTCCTGCAGGTTTTGCAGTCTGCTCCTGTGAATGCAGTGAGAGCAGAAAAGCAAAGGCAAGGATTGCTTGAGGCAGTCAAATCTCTTCAATGCTATTTCTCTAGATAACTCACAAATGAAAAGTTTGTTTTGTTGTTGGTGGGGTTTTGTTTTGTTTTTTGCTAGAGGAATACAGTTGCCAGAAGTGCTTCTCCATTTGCTGAAAACCACTTTATAATTCCTGGCATTCCTTTTTCTTGCACCTTTTATCCAAGAGGATCCCAACACAGTTTTATAACTATGTAGGATTCCTTTCTCCCACCACTGAACTGCTGGGGTAAGAAACTGCAACTATTAAGTGATGCACAACATCACCAGGGAAGTTTAAGACAGGAAGTGAGATCAGTAGCTGATCTTGACTTGCTGCTAGTCTAAGTGGGAATATGTGCAGGATACTAGAATTTAATACCCCTAGCCTCATTAAAATTGCAGTGGAGTCTGATATCTTCAACATGGCAAAGGTCCACAGAGCCTACGAGGATGCTTGAACTTGCCTAGTTCTTGGGAGTAGATCTCAGCCCCTCTCAGTGGTTTGGGACATGCACTTTGGCTTTCAGTTTGCCTGGATCCTGACCACACTTGTTGGCTGGCTTCTGGAACTGAACCTTTTGATTCTTGGCTTCTCTTTCCTCCTGAAGCAGTATAGCAGCATGTGTCCCTCCCTGGCTCTCATGTGGCAGATGGACAATGAGAGAAGCCAGTGGGGAAAAAGCTGCTTTTCTATGCTCATTCCAGATAACAAGATCAACTTGTTTTAAAGCTAGAAGTCCTATGTCTGCTGCATATATCACTTCCCAGCCCAGGAATTATACAGCTGAGGCCATTAGAAAGCAACGCTGGCTCAAGAGACAGGGTATTCTTTCAGGGAAATAGCAAATATAATCTCTTTTCCCTCTGTTGGGAAGAGAGGCCAATCCTCCAGGGTTTTCACTTGAGCCATCCAATCCTGTTTCATTGCCCTCTGCTGTTGATGCAATTACCAGCAGTGTGTCCCCTCTTCTTCCTAGTGCCAGGCTGCTGAAGGTGTACGGAGAACCAGACAAAGTTCTAATGGATGTTGGAGGCAGTGGTAAGGGGCCCTCAAGGCTAACTTCTTGGGCACCCAAGAGCCTACAAGGGCTCTTCTGGACTTCCCAGTGAGACCGTCCAGTCCGTCTGGCCTTGGAAATTTAATGGGGATTGGTTAATTGCACCAAAAGCAGAGATGCTTGTTGGCTTGTGTTTAGCCTGAATTGGCACCAACCTTTTCAAAACTGTTCTCAGAGATCTTAGAGGTTCTTTAAGAATTGGTTCCTATCCAAAGCAATGCTCCAAAGAGAGACGAGCTAGAATCAGGAATAAGCAGTGTTAGGGGTAGGCAGTTACTCCACCTCCACATCTTCCTTCTCCTTTGCTCCAGCCCAGAAGTGGAGGGGTGGAAAAAGGGGAACCCAGGGAGAGGTCCGAAGCCCAGATTAAGGGGCTGACAGTATGGGACAAGTGAGGGTCCAGGAGCCTGTTGAGAGGCTGAGAGTGTAGAACCAGAGAGGGTCCAGGGAACCCCAGAGGAGAGGCAAAGTGGAAATGAACGGCAGCACCCTAACACAGTCCGGTGGGTGGCGAATTGGCTGGAGGGTCACACCCAGAGAGTCGTGGTGGATGGGTCAGCTTCGACCTGGAAGGGTGTGGGAAGTGGGGTCCCGCAGGGCTGGGTCCTTGGACCGATACTCTTTAATGTCTTCATCAGCGACTTGGACGAGGGAGTGAAGTGTACTCTGTCCAAGTTTGCAGATGACACAAAGCTATGGGGAGATGTGGACATGCTGGAGGGCAGGGAACAGCTGCAAGCAGACCTGGACAGGTTGGACAAGTGGGCAGAAAACAACAGAATGCAGTTCAACAAGGAGAAATGCAAAGTGCTGCACCTAGGGAGGAAAAATGTCCAGCACACCTACAGCCTAGGGAATGACCTGCTGGGTGGCACGGAAGTGGAAAGGGATCTTGGAGTCCTAGTGGACTCTAAGATGAACATGAGTCGGCAGTGTGACGAAGCCATCAGAAAAGCCAATGGCACTTTATCGTGCATCAGCAGATGCATGACGAATAGGTCCAAGGAGGTGATACTTCCCCTCTATCGGGCGCTGGTCAGACCGCAGTTGGAGTACTGCGTGCAATTCTGGGCGCCACAATTCAAGAGGGATGCGGATAACCTGGAGAGGGTCCAGAGAAGGGCCACTCGTATGGTTAAGGGCTTGCAGACCAAGCCCTATGACGAGAGACTAGAGAAACTGGACCTTTTCAGCCTCCGCAAGAGAAGGTTGAGAGGCGACCTTGTGGCTGCCTATAAGTTCATCACGGCGGCACAGAAGGGAATTGGTGAGTATTTATTCACCAAGGCACCCCCGGGGGTTACAAGAAATAATGGCCACAAGCTAGCAGAGAGCAGATTTAGATTGGACATTAGGAAGAACTTCTTCACAGTTCGAGTGGCCAAGGTCTGGAACGGGCTCCCAAGGGAGGTGGTGCTCTCCCCCCCTACCCTGGGGGTCTTCAAGAGGAGGTTAGATATGC